TACTGCCCTCCTCTGTCTATACCTAACACTTTAAAACCTTGCTAAAAAAAACTTCCATGCCATTGACAACAACCTTGAACCTTGTCTACTGCAAGCTTCATATCAGCAGCTGTATAGCATTTGCTTGGTAAGCTTATGCCCTATGGCACTGGGCTTGTGATTTTGCACCATTTTAATTGGGTAAAGTAAATTAATTCACTATAACAAAAAATATCATAAAAAACATACCAGAGGCAGAAAGGAATATCTTAGTGACAAGTGACAACCTTGTTTTTGGATAAATCAATCATTGTTAGGGGGAGCATCTGGGCCTAAAATTAAAATTTACGGCTTTTCTGGTTTTTATGCTCATATGAAAGCTTACATTCTGCTGCATCAAGCAGTACCAGAACCATCTCTGTACGTTGATTTATGCGTTCATGACAGATTCTGATAGGGGGAGGGGTGGAGTCCCTCAACAAAAGTCAAGGGGGATAATTCCAGCCAGGCACTAATAAATGTGCTATCACAGGACCTGCAGCTCAGTTACCACTCAGCCATCATGCGGGAAGGTGTTTATGTAGTTGTCCTATGCACCGCTGACTGGCTTTGAAGTGAGATAACGCTTACTTTTGGTATCTAAGCTTCGTTACATGCCTTTACATAGCACGCAGCAGTTTTTCACCTCTACTGAAAAGTTTGAAAACAAAAACCTCTCTCATGGCAAATCTATCTCCTCCTACAGTTTTGAAGCTACAACAATGAAACCTATATGATTTGCAAAGAAAAGATCTATAAAGTTTTCTTTGTTATTTTTCTAATTTCGTCATAGTTTGGATTTTATTCTGCAAAGGGGGTAAAATAGAAGAATTTATGAAGAATGCCTCCACAATCACAAAAATGAAAAATTGCAAAAACCACAAAGATCTGTTTTTAGATATGGTCTTTGTGCCTCAAATGATATGTGTCTTGATGTTGTAGCTTGAAAATCCTAGGAGATAGATTTCTACAGTACCCCCTTTTTTGGCTGTTTTCTAAGAATTTCACAGTTTCCTTCATTTTTTTTAAATTTGCACAAACAAAAAAGTCTTAAATTTCTGTTTTACACATGTGTACCTACCAAATTTTGAAGTGATCCGTCTATAAATAACCGAGTTACAAAAACACCCAAACGCACCCCTTAAGGTTAATTACTTTTCATTTTATGTTTCCTGGTGCTCAACTCTATCCCTGACGTTCTATGCACAATTTTGTGATGACCGATGATGCATTAATTTTTCATTATGTGACATTTTTTGCTAAAAAAGGTGAATTTAATAGAAATTCCTTGTCAATAACCATTTTTTTTATTGACAGGAGCCTTTGCTAACAAAGATTCTGCTACAAATGGGTTTTTATGGGGTGTCCTGTATTACTGCGGGGAGGGTAGTGTTCCGTAATACCCCGTCTTGCGGAAATGGCCACCATTTTGTTTAGAATTGAGGTACACAAATTCCATTGATAAAGTTTTAAAGCTCAGACACCTGTTTGCAGGTTTCTTTTCTGGCAAAATTTTTTAATATATTAGGTTGAAAATATTTTTAAGGAATATTTTTTTACTACAGACTTAAGCAGAAGTACTTTACTACTTTTCCAAAATTTAATTTTTACAAATTTTTTTTAGGGTTTTTCAGAACTAGGAAATGTATGATTTCTTAACTTCCTTTATGCTACATATGGTAGATGGGAAAATTTTTTGAACTTTGCTCCACTGTTTTTAGTTTTGCAATATTTCAATTAGTTTTGCAGCTATAACATTTCTATGCCCCACACGTCCTTTATTACCCCTATCACAGTACCTACTTTTAGGGATAGGAAATCATCTACTTAATGCCAAATATTGTTAGTAGGCTAATTGCAACATAAAAAATAACACGTCAAAAAGACAAAAAAGTTGAAAAAATCAAAAAAATCAAACAAATAAAAAAAATCATGAAAAAATCAAAAAAATCATTGATTTTTTATTTTTTTGATTTTTTTAAAAACAAAAAAATCGCCAAACCTGGTTTTTCAGAACTAGGAAATGTATGATTTCTTAACTTCCTTTATGCTACATACGGTAGATGGGAAAATTTTTGAACTTTACTCCACTGTTTTTAGTTTTGCAATATTTCAATTAGTTTTGCAGCTATAACATTTCTATGCCCCACACGTCCTTTATTACCCCCTATCACAGTACCTACATTTAGGGATAGGAAATCATCTACTTAATGCCAATGCCTCAGTAACCACATTTTGCCAAACTTCAATCAAAACAATTTGTTTAAAAAAAACTGAATCATAAGTTCCTGAAAATATTGAAATTTCTTTGTAATCATTGTGATAATCTAACTATTATTACCTATGTAGATATTTTTGACAAGCAGTGGGTGCACTATCTGCTAAGTACCAACTTATGTCATTGATGCAAGTTATATTTGTGATCAAAATGTCTGAAACTATAATGAACCTTGGTGAATCCAATGCCATACTTGGGAGGACTTTGATTTTTCACAAAATTTCCCCTCGCAAAACAGGCTACATATACATGGGGATTATGGCCAGCACAGTTTGTGCTGGCTCAATCCCTTCAATTGTTGCATGTCATGTATATAATTGGATTTTGAGCCACACAACTCTAGTTTTTTTAATTGATTTAAAATGCCATTTCAACCAATTTGAAAATATACTGATTTAGCATATATAGGTAGTACCAGTATTTATCAAATTTTTGGTTGTATTGTACAAGACTATTTTGAATTTTTTTAGGTAATATTCTTTTGTAGAAACAAAGCAGACCTTGCTAATAGCAGAAACAGATTAAGTAAATTAACAGATAAGAACATATCAAGATTAAGATAGATTAAGTAGAACATATTTATTATTCATATGAGGAAGGGTGACCAATTTGAAGATATGGTGTTTACTTCACCGATTTTTTGTTGCATATTGAAGATGCAAGTAAGTAACATTTGATGAATACATCATCTATGATGGCTTAGGTAGAGATGTTTAATATTTATCTCAAACCAGCAAGGTTGCCCAGGATTTATATTAGTATGATACACACATATGAAGAATCCTGTTTTCTAAATCCAATCATCACTAGGTAATCCAGTCATTCCAAACCCCCATCATCTCAACTTCAGTTGATAATTTTGAATCAGATGTTCAATGATTGTTGAGAGACTGCAATCTCATATCCAGGATGGAACTCTCATTCAATATATTTTTGTATAAATGAAAGAAACTTGGACCTATTATTGTTGAATAAAATTCACAATTGAGGATTTTGATTTATGATGCAAATCTAACTCTCTTCTTTTTTTCTATGTTACAGGGTTACTAATGGCTAGGTACATTTTCTACATGACATTCAAGCCTTAAAATTTCAATTCTTGTGAAAGCTTAGCTTTACTAATATTAATGTATAAGTAACTAAGCAAAACTCTTCCTGACATCTCTTCAGTATGAATATTTTGACACAAATGTTCAATTGAAACTATCAGAGCAAGGTTTTATGCTGACAATTATCTTAGTATTTTAAGGTGAATGTCAAGCACTTGCATTATTGCAGGTTATGATGGTTACTTCACGGTGCTGGCATTCCCCTGCAACCAGTTTGGTGACCAGGAACCTGACAAAGCTGCTGATGTGGCAGAGGCCATGAGCAAGGAGTATGGAGTCGAGTTTCCCATACTCGATAAAATTAATGTCTTTGGGGAGAATTCCAGCCCAGCCTTCCGCAACCTAGTTGGTAAGATCTTAGTTCCACACTTTGTATTTTTTCAGTGAGGACTGTGAAGAGTGTCTTGAATGTGTTTGAAAAGTTCAGGTGCCTTTTATATGTATATGTTCCAATGAATCCTCATTATGTTGATTATTATTATTATTTTCCAATTTCAACCCACAATTATTTAAATTTTACTCTAAAATCTAATAGGACTTGTTTTGTCACCAAGAATCAATTGGTTATAGACCACAATCAAAGCCATACTTATGTGGATGTCCAGAAAAACTGCCTGCTGGTAGATGCACTCATTCATGTCCATTATTTTTCTTTCTTTACTGAACGTCAAACTATTTTTTTGTTATTGTTCTTCTTTCATCTTTCTTATTAAATTTCTAACTTATTCAAGTTACCTGTGCTCTAAATAACAACTTTTCATTTTTTTCTCATGCATTATGAAGAAATAAACGTGGCACCATGAAAATTTTTACCATTATGTGATGAGCCTTTGACCTGACAAGCCTTTGACATGATAAGCCTTTGATGTGATAAGCCTTTGACATGATGATCCTTTGACCTGACAAGCCTTTGATGTGATGAGCCTTTGACGCAATAAGCCTTTGACGTGCTGAGCCTTTGACCTGATGAGCCTTTGACCTGACAAGCCTTTGACCTGACAAGCCTTTGATGTGATAAGCCTTTGACATGATGATCCTTTGACCTGACAAGCCTTTGATGTGATGAGCCTATGACGCAATAAGCCTTTGATGTGCTGAGCCTTTGACCTGACAAGCCTTTGACGTGCTGAGCCTTTGACTTGACAAGTCTTTGACATGATGAGCCTTTGACCTGACAAGCCTTTGATGTGACGAGCCTTTGATGCAATAAGCCTTTGATGTGCTGAGCCTTTGACATGACAAGCCTTTGACTTGCTGAGCCTTTGACCTGACGAGCCTTTGACCTGACGAATCTTTGACGTGATGAGCCTTTGACCTGACAAGTATTTGACCTGACAAGCCTCTCACCTGACAAGCCTCTCACCTGACAAGTCTTTGACCTGACGAGCCTTTGACCTGACGAGCCTTTGACCTGACGAGCCTTTGACCTGACGAGCCTTTGACCTG